TAGAGCTTCCTCTATGTTATTTGAATAAGAAAAGCATAGAATTGGTTGAGTGTAGTCACATAAAGTACCTTAGGCACAAAGTAGTTGTAAGTATGTATTTAACTATGTCTTAAATATGTATAGCTTTAAATACATAAATACCTGCACAGTGATTGTTTTGTGGTCCCAGCAGCTTTCTGTAAAAATTTGAAGATCATTGTTAAATTTTCGTAAAGTATACTTGAATAGCGACTTCAGATTAAATCAATAAATATTTATTGAACATCAACTATGTTATATGTTGTGAGATGAAAGGCTTCCAGAAACTTTAACCTAGATATCTGTATTCTACCCCATTCCCCTTTGGTCACAGATAATACAGCCATTTTATTTTTATTCATGAAATTAAAGTAGTCCACTCCTAGTCACTAACATCACTATTTCATTTCTTTCATAGAATTATTTGCTATTAATCTAAAATTATTTTGTTTACTTTGTCTCTTAGTATTTGTCTCTTCCTTTTAGACTATAAGCAGTATGAGGGTAGAAACCTTGTCTGTTTCATTCACTGTTGAATTCTGGGGCCTAGAGTGTATGGTAGGCACTGAAGAAAATATTTAATGAATTAATGAATTTTAAAACTAAGTAAATTTACTTTTTGGTCCAAAAAGTAATTGTAATTATTCATTTCAAACTTCTTCCTTTTTGGATATTTTACCAAGACTGTTAACCTCACTTTTTGTGCTCTCGTTTATACTCTGAAATTGCTAGCAAAACAATTTGATAAATCACTAAAGAATAGGTGAAATAGCAAGGGATCTGATATGTACACTGATCACCTCTGACTAATTGAACTTATAAATTAAGGCATCATTCTTTCCACTTACCTGGCATCTTTCATGCCAGGTGGAAAAGATTCTTTGCCTGTCCAAATTTTAGTCAGGCTACTGAACCTTCCGTTAGGCCCATCTGTGTACTTCCTTATAAAAATCCAGTTTTAGCAAGAATCCCCCGACCCTCGATATCTGATCACCCTTATAGCTGATCACCCTGGCCTGTCTTCAACAAGAATCCTGTTAGGTCAGTTTAACCAAAATCCCCTTCCCCTCATGTTTCCTTTTAGTAATTTTCCATCTAGCAACCCCTGACCCTGGTGCTTAGCTATAAATTGCAACTTACCCATGCTGTATTTGGATTTAAGCCCAATTCTATACTGAGGTCTCTTCCCCTGTTGCAGTAGTCCTGAATAAAATCCGTTTTTTACCACTTTACTCTCTAGCTCTGGTTTTTCTTTGACACAGATGAGTGATTCTTCTTCTTCTTCTTCTTTTTTTTTTTTTACAAAGGCCTGTTGTCTTTTTTATGTGCACTCTACCTGGCACTTAGTAGTCCCTTAATAATGTTTTTTGAATGAACGAACAATAGCTAGTTTGAACCCTTTCTAGATTTTCATGAATCTTTGATATTTATGGTACATATGCCCTTCTCATTTTTTGTACCTAGCATTATCTGCTTTTTGTTCTTCGCTGTGTTTGTACATGACTTTTATTCCTCACTGAAAGTTGAGCCATCTTATTAACATCAGTTAATCACATTACAACCAAGTCCAGAGAACTGACTTCGTGGACCTCAGTAACAGACTCCATCTTCATTTTATTAAAAAAAAAAAAGACAGCTACACATATACATAATGAGAGAATCAATTTTTTTATTTACACATTGGTCATTTTAGGTTGTACTTCTGGCTCTGACAAAACTATTTAACATAGATTTTATCAAATTATCCCAGTTATTAAAAATCATACTCTAAACTTTAGATTTTCTTCACTTCCTTCCTAGCATTCAGATAACTCTCTTTTTTTTTTTTTTTTATGCATTCCTTGGTAGACTTGGCCTCTAGGACAGCCTTTTTATGCATTTTTTTCCCCTGTTTTAACATCTCCACTGAAAGCATCTCATTTCCCTTGGAACTGTCTCTACATGTGTTTCCCTTGCCTGTCATTTATTGCTTAGTTCTATGAAATGCTTTAGTTTCATCCTGAAGATCAAGAAGCAGACGACAGTCATGAGTGCCATGCCCAGACACGTGATCTCCTTGTCAAACAGTACAGTTAACAAATGGGCTGAGTTAAATTCTAGTGAATGGCAGCATCATTATTCAAGATTTCACCTTTCATCTCAGTCTGTTTATGCTTCAGAAATGTGTTGCTTTTTGTTTTTGATAGGGCATCAATTTGACCTCTTATAATTAGAAGTTTGTTTTAAGTATCAAATAAGCAATGGCATTCTTTATACATAGCAATTGATTCAGCAGACTGGAGATGAAACAATATTTTAAATGTTAGCTGGAAATTTTTTAAAGGGTAAGACATTATTATTTTTGTTAAATATTTAATTTTTTAAAAAGACAAATCTCTTTAAAGTGAAAATGTCAGAATGATGGAAAAGAAAAGGGGCAAGAGATTGAATGAATGATTTAAGAATGATTGTGGATATTTAAGAAAGAGGGCCTCCTTCCTCCCATTGTGATCTCTCTTTGGTGAAAATGGCAAACAAAAGCCAGCAAATTGGGAAGGAAGCAGGAAATCCTAGTTAGTGACTGTCAGAATATTTAAAATGCTTCTGTTACATTTTAATGCTTTCCCTCCCCTCAACTTGTTTTTGCCCCCACTTAAATTGCTTTTAGAAAGTCATGATTTTTCATCTCTATTTCCAAGTAAGCATGCAATTAAATAAAATATGGAAGACGTATCTTGTGATGTGATTGTACAAAACCAGCTTAAATTTTGAATTTTTGATTTGAGGGAAACCATTCCAGAATTTATTTATTTAATCACTTCCTATGCCAATGCTACTCCACTCCTCAGCCAAGACCTTTTACCTTCTCTAGGTGGAAAACCAAGAAAACAGCTTCAAATAACAGAGTCAGGTAAAAATAAGGAATTCTGCTTGGTCCTTGTACCTCCCCTGGTCCTTGTACTTTACTGCTTGGTTGAAAATATATTAGAGGACCTTGTTGAAATAAAATTCTCATTTCATGATTATGTTAGGAAAGCAGGTTCTGGGAATAGGAATCGAAATTATCTCCAGCACAGCAGTTGTTAGGAATTTTTCCAGAGGTAAGTTGCTTTCTAGAAATGCTCTGAGTTTGCAGCCATAATGGCCTTAGTTTTTGCATTTATTTACTTTTATTTACTTATATTTATTTTTGTACTATGTTGTAGTTCCAGAAAGTGCTAAAAAGTCATCATGTATTTAAAACAAACAAACCAAAAAACCCCCTTGGCCTGAGGCTGTGTAAAGAAGAATAAAGCTCTCATTTTCCCAGTACCCAATCATCAGCTCGAGCTGGCCTCTCCTAGGAAGAGAATTTATTGAAGCAATTTATCCTGGCTAAATGTGATATAAATCTGTGTACACCTAGGTACATACAGGCTCTCTTCCATTACAGCAATGCTGCAGCATCAGTTTTTTCACAGTTAGACCCTGTTACTATCACACTGAAAGATGACTAAGAAGCCCTTTCTATTTTACGGGGTACCCCGCAATTTTAAATACCCATCGGTTGTGGAATTTACTGATCAAACTGCCAGAAATACTGGTTTCCAACCCCAGATTCTTAAGAGAGTCGAAGAGATGTCACCTAGCTACCCTCTGAGTTTTAAGCATGGTTTTCTGATTACCTGATCTAACCTAGCACTTTAACATTTTACTTTTAACGCAGGCCTGACTGAGGTTAACCTGACATTTTGGTTTATCTCCAATATAAAAATGTGAAATTTGGTTACAATTCTGAAGGCGTTTCTAGGCATATTCAGATTGCTGTTTTTCCTCTTTCACCTTCTGTTGTTCATATTCTTTCAAATATCTTTCTCTCGTAGAGGATGTTTGAAAATGTCCTTTAAGAGTTTATTTTATAAAGAATGTTTTTTGTCCCCTTTCCTCTTTTTTTCTTCCACCTTTTCAAAATAATGTTTTATCTTCTTGCATTTCTAATTTTTATCCATCTTCACCTCTATTTTTATTCCTCGGAGGGATATGAGGTATTTCCCCAACACATTCATATTAGAATTATTGTTCTTTGACAAAGAATTTCAATCAGCATATCAAGAGTTTAGCTTCAATAATTAAAAAACAACAACAGCATAAGTCCTGTTAAATTCTTCAGAGAAATGGAGAGGATGGATGGTGATGCCTTTTAGTGCCATTTCTTTATCCCCTGCAGCAGCACACATCTGTTGGCTACAACAGAGCAGCCCAAGAACTGTGGCCGAGAGAAGCACAAACAGCCGGAACATATTCACTCAGTAAACCCCCAAAGAGTCGACATTTGTTTTATTGCTGCTTTTAAAAACCTAGCCATAAATAGAATCAGAGGGGGAAGGGCACCGATATTTCTCCATTTGCCACAGACGATTGGTGGGGGGAGAAGGAGGCTCCCAGTGGGGAGAGCAGGTTTTTATTTTTATTTTTTATTAATGAAAATCATTTCCTGTGTAGCCCAATAGGATGGGTGCTTTGTTTTCTTTGGCAATAATCTGGGATAAATGGCCCTTGCCAACAGTCTCGTAGTTTATACACCAGGGAGCCAGATTATGGCCCTGTAAAATGGAGCACCCCTCCTATAATCCCTTAATTAATTAAATGACAAATTTTGGTCTTCTCTAGTTCAGAAATACAGCTTCCGCATCAAGCATTCAATGGATTTATTGACATAGGGAACTATACTGGTTGTAATTCAGCAGACTAGAGAACTGTGTTGTATACTGTGGCAGAAAGGGAGAATCTAGCAAAAGATTTGAAATTCCTTGACTTTAGGTTAAAATTTTTCTAATTAAAAGTTTCATTTGAGTAGATTATATGCCACTTGTCTAATGGGTCTCCCCAAAGTAGCCTGTGTTTACAGCTTTGATAGATGGCATTCTTGGAACACCTGTTTCTAGGCTTGATATTTTTGAAGCACTTTTTTTTAAACTCCAGCATATTTAACATAACTTTTCCCCCTACCTCCTCCTCCTCAGCTCTGCTCTGCTATATGAAATATGGGAGACGACAGACCATTTGTGTGCAATGCCCCAGGCTGTGGACAGGTACGTTTACAATATACTTTATTGTGAATGTCTCGTTGTGAATCAAAGTGGCTGTTTTATCACTAAGGCAAAGAGTTTAAAGCCGGCACTTTATGTGATCACTGGAGGTAATCAGATCAGAGGATTTGCAGTGTGTAAATCCAAGTTATGAGGAAGTGTAGGCACTCTACCGTAATGAAATCTGCCTTGCTTTCTTTCATATTGTTATGCTACTGGTGTTTGTTTCCCAACATACAGTGTTGAGGAATACATGTTGCTCTCTCCTAAACCTATCCATCTAAATACAAAGCAAGTTAAGAAATACCTTCTCCTCAGCCTTCACGGATATAAAAGTCAGCTTAACACATTTGGATAGGCAGCTGAGAATGCACCTATTCATCGTTAACCCCTATTTGCCAGAGTCTGTTGGATTTTTTAAATAAGAAAAAAAAATGTTTCTTTTGACTGTTGATTCAGAAAATCATTTTTAGCAGCTAAGGCAGACATCTATCTAGGAAAGACAAATCCATCATAGAACCTGAGATTTCACAGCAATATATAAACTGCAAGACTTCTCAGCCATTTTCCTTGTCTGACGCCATGAAAAACCTTGTTGTGTATGTCAGCTGCCTCGTTATTATTTGCATATGTGTACATTACGTGTCGAATATTTTCCCTCATACTTTTTTAATAAAGAAATTTTTTGAAACTGCCCCCCCCCATTTTACACCTTCTTAACTCTTCTTCCTAGACCCTCCCCTACTACCATGATCCACAAAGGATGAGGAAAGGAATACAAAGAAAGTTTTATCTGCCTTCATGAACTCATTTTATGGAACCTGAAGGGTTGAATTTTTGTTCAATTAGGAATATGTCATATGACTGTCCAGTGACACTTACTGGTGGTATGTGAGACTGCAGACTAGTTCTATTAAACATTGTAAATACTTAGACAAAAAGAAGAGTTAAGTTCTAGATATTCCTAAGAATTGGAATTTGAGAGGTGGATGAGATGGGGGTCATGATAGGAAATGGGCAGAAGGACAATTTCAAATTCCAGTAAATGCTGAAAATTTCAGAAAAGACTAAAAATGTCATTGTATTCTAAGGATTCAGTATTGCAGGGAGTATTTCCTTCCTTGTCAAAGTTTTCAACTTTACTGTTGACTGCATGTTTTCCCCCATGTGTTTTATATTTAATTTTTTTCAATAGAAGCCACTTGGAAAAATAGGGCAAATTTGTTTCACTTTTCAGACACCTTCATTGCAGTGTATATCTGAATCCGATCCCTCTAAATTTTTCTACGAATTCACTGATAAGAGTACTTAATGTGACTCTCATAATTGATACCTGGTACCTTTTTCATTTTTACTCCTTTACTTTAAAAATCTGCATTTTTGGTGATAAGATTTACTTTTCTCATACTTAAATTTATTTTTCTTCATTTATTATGTAAGCTGCACAACACCTGTACCCCCTCTTAGATGCTGTATGCCTCAAACCACCCAGACAAGGATTTAGAAAAGTAAAAATGGATGATAAAAATAAAGGAATACACAAGAAAAGCATCTCTTAAGCTCTCAGAGGGAGAAAGATATAAATAGGGTTTCTTCAGGCTGTCTCATCAGAAGAGAGTAATTTTCACTGAAATTTGAGAGCTCTCAAAGAGTTTTGTATTTGCTTCTTTGTTTTTGTTTTACGTTTGGACTAGAGGTGGGAAAACAGGAGGGACTTTACTTTGGTTCCTTCTTATCTTGTTGTGTTCTATTTACCATAAATCTTTTCCTTTCCTTAACTTCTCCCTCTCATTTCTGAATTGGTATTTTGGTTATTGGGATTTATTATAATCTCTGGCATAGGTCCTATTTTTTTCCTCATTGAGTGCAGAACTCAGGGAGATGGCTACCTTCTTTTGGATTCAAGTTCCTTGTTTCAATGAGAAAGAATAGAAGACTGCAACTTAAAGCTTTGAAGGTAGCCTGATTTTTTTACCTTTTTGCATGTTAATACTTTGTGGTCAGATGAGATTGTAGTTCTTTAGTCGTATTTAGTCTCCCTCCCAGTTTCTCCCATTAACTAGTAACAAATAACTATAGAGTGGGATCTCTACAAGATTTCCTATGATTGCTTTGTGTTATATGAAGTAGTGAAAATCTGATAGAGGAGATAAATTTGGTAAAGTGAACTACCCTTGGCCTGTAGTCCAACTTCCTTATATCTTGAAAATGGTTTCATTCTAGAGCCACCTTTAGGCCTTGAAGCTATTTATAGTCCACTGTCATCGATTTAAATTCTTTATTCCAGAAATGGTAGAAGAGTAAAAAGTCTCTGTAAGTCCCAGGAAGGGTAATAAGGACTGCGATAATTTTTGCAAGGCATAGTTTAGGACTTACTGCTATAGAAATCTCAAAAATCAGCAGTTTCTGTCTGAGAAAGAAAGAATGGAAGCAAATTATAAAGCAAGACACCGATCTTAAAAATAAACCAACAAACAAAAACTATAGGAACTTTGCATATTTTCAATATCTGCTCCCTGCCCAGACTTTACCCCATGTACCTCTAAACTCCGAAATCATCTTACGCCTTAATATTAAGAGAATGTGAAAGGAAAATTCACCTAAAATAGACTAGTCGATTATGCTCTCCACCAAATAATCAAAACCACCAGGCTTTCAATGGATACGTAAACATGTTTTGGTTGCTAGGTCTTTAATGGCTGTTATTTTTGGATTCTGTTCATGATCCACTTCCCAACAGTAAGTCTGATGTGACACAGCTGAGTTCTAAATATGCTGCATGTACTTTTTAAAAATAAGATGGCTGCTGAAGGTTGTGTTCTCTGCATTCTTATCTGAAAAGACAGGTGATAGGGGTTTTTGAGCCTTCTCATTCTTATTCTCCTGTGGAGACTCTGTTTCTCTTAAGGTCTCATCGCCCTCATGAAGAGGAATTCGGGGAAAGCAATATTCCTGCTCATACCTCTCTATGGAATGTGGCAGCAAGAGTAGTTAATAGAACTGTCTCCAGAGAATGGGTCATTGTTATTATGGCAGTAGTGCCTGAGATTTCCTGTGGCAAAAGGCTGGTTGAATTTGAGTTGTATGGGTTTCTGATGTTTATAAGATAGCATCTATTTAAAAACATTGTGACTATAAAATGGCTTTACCTCTGTGTTATTTTTAAAATAATAGAAATATAGTTTGGTGCTGAATCTAGGAAGTCTTGTAAGTTTTTGATGCTTTGGGGGACACTTTTATTTGAAAGTGGATATTGTATGTGGAAGCAGGAATAATTACGTCTCTGTCAGTAATCTTGAATTTGAGATGTTATTTCATGTGGATGAAGTTAGATAACTTACCTTCTAGATACTTTTTGTCTAATTTTTATTACCAGGAGTCAACCAATTCCATATTCCTATACCTCCATCTCAAGCATAGACACTGGTTTGCAGTACAAATTATGCATATTTAAGTAGTCTTTCTGGTTACCATAATCAAGTCTTTGAGCAGAAGCTGGTCATATAAGCTTATTACTTAGAATGTCTATTTCCTTAAGAACAGGAACACATTTCTTCTGAGGAGATAGTTACTACTTAATGGACTGTTAGTATCATCCCATCATTAGCCATTGAGAAAGGTTTCTGTCATAACCATTCTGTATCAACTGTGTCCTTTTAAGGAAAAATCCTTTGACTGTTTTTCTGTCCTGTGTGACCCTGTTACTCTTTTTTTGTTCTCCTGAGGATATCTACTACCAGATCTTTTCTTCTCCCAGAGGACATTTAGGTACAAGTTGGGGTTCTGTTCATACCTTTTTGAGACATGAACATAGACCTCCAGGGCCCATTTTCCCTTTCTAAGGCCAAGAATAGCAGTAGAGCCCTAGTTGTGGTGGGATTGAGGGCAGCTTCTTATACCTCCTTATCTTGTCATATAGTAGGAATAATGTTTATGATGCTGTAGTCCTGGCTTCAGTTGGCATTTAACCAACCTCCAATGCTGTTTATTGCTTCGTATCCTCTGCCTCCATGAACATTATCCCTTAAATCTCTATTGCTTCGTAATATATGAGGCAACAAATAGCTTCTATGATTGGTTAAATGCTGGCATGCTACAAAGGTATATGTTTTATTGCCTGTATAACATGAATCTATAGAGATTATTTCTATTATCCCAGCCCTCCCATTAAATGGGCCATACTTATACTATGGGATTCTGGATTTTTAATTCTATCCCTTTGGCAAGTTTCCCTGTTACCTGGCATTAGCACAAAAGAAAAGGAAGGAAGAACAGGTTGGTGCTGATTACTGAATCTTTATGTTAAGGGAGCATCTTGAATTGGAAAATAACAAGGGAAGAAATGGCTCTGGTCGGTAAATGCCATTTGTGGTGGTATATGCTATCTTTACATGCTTCGACAGGTGAGGGCAATTTCAGACAAACAAATAAGCCTTTCTTCCTCACCCCCTGCCAAGAGTTTAAAAAAATTCAAATTTTTATTTAATAATTCATATTTCACTCAATAATTCATTTAGTTCCCATCTGGTAAGAGTGCCTGCATGCTGACAGGCAGCTGAAAATACACTGCATTATACACAATTAGGCCAAACGCTAACCTTGTTTTTTGTAATAATATGTTGATTTTGCAATAACTTTCAGTCCACTCTGAGTGTGCTGCAGTTTTATGTAACCTTGGATGTTAGGCATTGTGTAGATGAAACTGGGACTGGGATAAAAACAAATGTAGAGGTGTTAAGAACAAGGAATTAAATCCAAGTTTTAAAACGTCAGATCTGGCACTCTTGACACTTGTCCTTAGAAACATACGGTTGATTATTTTAGTTTTTCACATTATAGTTATTATGTTACTAAAAGCATAGTAGATTAAAAGCATCCTTGTTCCAGTCTGCCAGAAAAAAAAGGGAGAGCGAAAGAGAGAAAAGCGCATGAACCTAAATTGTAGCTATACCCCAAAAATTAAGGTAAAATTTTTCAGTTATTCGCTCTTGTTTCTTTTTGAC